TCACATCCTATTTTTTTTTCTTTTGGATTTCCCCCACCCCACCCCAATAATGCCGGGGGGGGGAAGGGAAGAGGAGGGAGGGAAGGACTCCATGGTGCCTGACTGACCCCTTTCTGTGCCAACACACCGAATATTTATGGGGGGAGTGTGCGGGGGGCAACAGGGGTCCCACCCACCCCTTGTGAGAAAGCCCTTGAGAAACCAGCATCGTGAGGAGAGGCGTGCCTCCTAAAAGGGGGGGGGCGCGGCGGAGGGTCTGGAGGCAGCAGCTGCATCCAAAGCATTGCCCCCCCTTGCTCGCTTAAAAGGCTCAGAAGGATGCAGCGTGGAGGGGGGGAGCAGATCCTGCCACCCTCTCGCCTCGAAACGCCTCCGAAGGGCCTCCAGAAAGAGGTGGGGTGGGTGTCCCAGGGGGGCCCCCGATCAAACTGTGAGCCAGGATCAGGGCCTGCACTGGAGGGCTCTTCTCCAGGTCCGCCCTGGCGAAGCCCACCACCAGGGTCAACCCTTCCCGGTCCTATGGGTCTGTGACCTCTGCAAAGCCGCGGGGGCAGCTGGGCCGACGGCCTCCCCGGATCTCATTTTGGCCAGAAAGTGGCTGCGAGGTGGGGGGGGCGCGTCAAAGGACGTACAGCCATAGGTTGCCTCCTCCCACAAGGATAGGGTTCCTTCCTTCTTTCTTTCTTTTTATGTTTGTTTCTACCCTCTATTCCTTCCGTATCTGTTTTCTCTGAGCTATTTCTCCACCCCTATGGGTCTCACTGGGAGCTCTCCTTAGCTTGGTCGGTCATTCATTCATTCATTCATTCATTCATTCATTCATTCATTCATTCATTCATTCGTTCGTTCGTTCGTTCTCTTTCTTTCTTATTCCATTTTTCATTTTTCCTTCCTTTCTTCAGAGAGCGTCAATGCTTCCCTGCCATCAGCCTCTCAATTATTATTATTATTATTTTGGACAACTCCCCCCGCCCCCCAATCTCAGCTCCATTTGAGCAATTCTGGGCAAATCTGCACTGGTCAGGTTTGTCCCCTTTCTCTCTAATGGGTGAGTCTCAGAACAGTGAGGACTAGCAGCTTGGCTCTCTTTTGGAGAAGGGTTGAAAAACCCAGCCGGATGGAAAGTGGAGAGTCCGTGTTGTTCAAGGTCACGACAGCTACTAAGAGAAGAAAAATCCTCACTGAACGGCCACCCCCTTTCCCCCCAATATGATTGTTTCAACTCACTGTCCCCTTTCTCTCTAATGGGTGAGTCTCAGAACAGTGAGGACTAGCAGCTTGGCTCTCTTTTGGAGAAGGGTTGAAAAACCCAGCCGGATGGAAAGTGGAGAGTCCGTGTTGTTCAAGGTCACGACAGCTACTAAGAGAAGAAAAATCCTCACTGAACGGCCACCCCCTTTCCCCCCAATATGATTGTTTCAACTCACAAATTTCTACACACACACACACACACACACACACACACACACACACACACACACACACAGGTTCTCCACTGTGGGCATTTTGTGTCTTGCGAAGGGCCACCGCTGGCCGGNGGCCGGAGTGGTGGCGGCGGGAGGGGGCTATTTTTTTTTTGTTTACCCCGGCCCCTCCAAGTCCATTCTCTCTTTTTTATTTTTCTTTATATACAAAAAAATAATAATCCATTAGATTTGGAAATGAAAATCATCCTATGTGAAACCAAAGCAGTCTTCTGAAACAGAACGCCCACCCCCCAAAAAACGGTTCTCTTTTTCATCGTAATTTTTTTTTCATACATCACACGTACAGCCACACCAAAATACTTGATATGACCCCCCAAAAATAGTCACAGGACAGCAAAAAACTCTATTTCTTTTTTTCCCCCTTTTTATCTTCTCTCCCTCTCTCTCTCTCTCTCTCTCACGCACACACACACACATCCTCCCTCCCCTCCCCTGGAAAGAAAAATATAGATCACTGTTTCAGCAAAACGGTTCAGGATTTGCTTTTTTAAAGTTTTTCTCTTGAAGCCACAAGGAACCTTTCATGCACAGAAGAAGAGGAAAAAAATAAATAAAAAAATGAAAGAGAAATTGAAAAGAGAGAAAAATTCAATTGGAAATAAGGACGGTAATATCTATTCCAAAGTTGTCAGGCCACACTGTTATAAGCAAGATTTATGTTTGCTCCTCATTAGTCTTTCTGGATCTGTGCTTATTTCAACTGTCCCAATCGCTGTAAAATACAGAGGAAAGGAATGGAAACTTAATTTTTTCCTTCCTAGGGGAAAAATAGAGGTCTTTTCCCCTTCTTTTTGTTTTTTTGTTTTTTTTAGGGGGAAAAAAGCAGACTGCGCATTGTGAATTTGCTTCTCATTTTGACACCTTTAAATATGCAGGGATGGCTTTTTCTTTCTCCCTGCGCTTCCGATACGACTTTTCTGCTTTAACGAGGCTCCACCTGCGAGACAGGGAAGAACCCCCCTCCACTAAAAGGCAAAATGTATCAAAAGTGGCTTCTCATTGTAGAAAGTTGTTTCGGGGGGGGGGGGAAGGAAAAGAAAAGAAAAGAGAGACAGCGCCAGATCTCCCTAAATTTGTTTTTTCTTTTTCTGCCTACCTTTCCTAAGGGTTGTTCCCTGTGCACGGGCCGCCCGTCCTCTTGGAGAATGAGCATCATCGGGCTCCGAGGAACAGCCTCCCCCGGTCTTTTTCTTTCCTCCCCATCAGCCCCCTCCCCAAAGGACAGCATGCATGCGCTAGGGCTGTGTTGGGGGTGGTGGTGTCAGGGTGAAGAATTGGGGGGGGAAATGGAAGGCACCCCCATGGCCGGGAAAAAGAAAAATGGGAGCGTTTTCAACTCGGGTCAACATATGGGGTGGCCGGATCACGCAAGAAGAGAGAACAAAAATAATAATAATCATAATAATCATATGAGAATATTAAAGAATTAAAGGAAGAAACGAAAGTAGCTCGACCCTAAACCCTCCCCGCCCCGTCGCCCAAATATTAACCAAACAGCTAAGTTCAGTGGCAAAATAGAGGTGGTTCCCCCTCCTCTGGAGACGGCTCGCTTGCAGAGTTTCCCCGCCGTCGTTGTGTTGTTTTTTTTCCCCCCAACGATCCCTTCCCCGGGAAAATGCAGTTCGTTAAAGCTCCTAAAGTCTCTCCCGAGCCGGGATCCAGATGTAAGGGCCGGAGAGCTCCTCGATGATTCTCTTGATCTTGTGGTAGATCTCCTCGAAGCTCTCGCCTTCTACGATGGCTGCGGGGGGGGAAGACAGCGGGCGTGAGCGAGGAGGAGGAGGAAGGAGACGGCCGGGGCCCTCCTCCCTGAGATCCCCATGGCTGGGGGATGATGGGCACGAGAATCCCCACCGCCACCACCCCCGATGCCGGGCACGACTTCGGCCGAGCCCCACAGACAGGAAGGATGCCGTTGTGAGACTATCCGTGCAGGGAACAGCGACCGGGGGGGGGCTCAGAAAGTGGAGAGGGGGTGGACTCTGAGCCCTGCATTAAATCTCTCACCTGGTGGGAGGGGAAGAGATGACTGCCCCCCCTCCAAAAAGTCACCCCAGGTAAACAGCTCCATCAAGTACTACCCGTTAGATACTCCCTCCACTCCCTTCCCCCTGTTCACGTCTCTTCCTCTCCAGGAGGGCCCCCTAGGCATGCACAGAGTTCCTTCTTCGGGCTTCAGAGGGGGCTGCCATGGTTGCATGCTCTAGCCCTCAGGAGGTAGAAATTATGGGAGCCATAGTTCTCCCACACAATGCCTCCCCCCCACCCCGAAGAGCCTCCCCACCAATATAGAGAGGTTCACCCGCTGCTCCGTTCCATCCCTAGCACCTGCAACACTGGCCCTCATCATCATACAAGTAAGGGTCCCTGGGCGTGCCAGCAAGCCCTCGCCACCAGACAGGTGGGCCATGTTCTTCTCTGCAGCAAAAGTTAAGAGGAGTGGTCTCCCTAGCTCAGTATACAGGAAGACCCCTGTATCCACGGGGGTGGGGTTTGGTTCCAAGCCCCCTCCGCAGGTGCTGAAAAGCGTGGATAATAACAAACACTACTTATAATAGTGAACGCTATCAATCACATGGTCTCTTGCTCCCTCTAGTGCCCAGTTCTGATAACTTCACCATTAGAAATATATGTTGCTGTTGTTTAGTCGTTAAATTGTGTCCAACTCTTCGTCACTTTAGAAATAAATACTGTTAATATTTTCATATCATGGACAAGTGAATACTGATACTAATCCCTTGGCTAAGGGGGGGGGCTTTTGTAATCAAGATATTTAGAAATTCCACCCATGAAGGTTTTACAGTTCCTTTGATATTTTTTAAAGGAAAGAAAATCTGTACAGTAGTGCCTCGCAAGACGAATGCCTCGCCGGACACGAAAAACCCGCAAGACGAATGCTTTTGGCGATGGGGGCTGATGACTCGCAAGACAAATGTTCCAGTTGTCTTGCTTCACAAGACGAATGTTTTCCATTTTTTGTTCCTGTTTCGTGTTTGCTGATTTTTAAATGTTTTTCTATGATGTTTAAAAAGTTAGTTTTTTTATTGAAATTTTTGAAATCATCTGCACAATATGTATGGCTTTAAAGAGCACTTAATAAACCCTTTGTAAACCAAATTTGTCTTTGTTCTGACATTTTTTTGCCCATAGGAACGCATTAATTCATTTCCTATGGGAAAACGCATTTCACAAGACAAATTTTTCACAAGACGACATTAACCGCGGAATGAACTAAATTTGTCTTGCGAGGCACCACTGTATTTTCAAGATCTGGAAAAATCCATATGTACTAACACCGTTGCTTCTATTGGGGCAAGAAAAGGCCTGGACTAGCCCTAACCTAGCCTTTGAAATTTTCCCAAATAAAGCTCATGGGCTTTCAAGTTCATTTCTGCAGACATATGGACTAGAAACGTGACCATCAGTTTGGAGCGGTGAAAGCTGGATTCTACAGCAACCTTTGTTTAGGGTAACTGCCAAGATTCAGAGCATGGTTGAAGTTTTGGCAATCTCGCAGGCTGCCTTTAGGTTTGGCAGGGAGGGACCTTTCTGGGCTGGGGTGACTGTCAATCTATCCAGTATTAACCAATCATTCCTGCTTCTGAATTCAAAGACAGCCCCGCCTCTCTGCTCTGTCTTTCACTCCCCCTCTCTAGAGTCCGTTGAAGTCTGTCTCTAAAAAGCAGTCACGTCTGTCCGTTTGCTGTTTGATCTGTCCAACTGTAAGTAACAAGACATGCCCCGCTTACCTGAGAAGCATTCTGTAAACTCCTGCTCAAGTTTAGTAGCTCTGTCGAAGGCTTTCCGTGCCTGCTCCTCCGTTATCCGCTTGTTAATTTCTCTGTTCAAGAAGGGGAGGGGGAAAGGAGAGGATTCACCATCTTAGTCTACACGGTTGCTGAGAACGGGTCTCCCTCACCCTGTCTTCTGCTTTGGAGCAGCTCTTAGAAAAGTGACCCTCCTGGACTACAACTCCCAGATGGCTGGACAGGGGCTGGTTTGAGGGGCTGCTGGCATTTTTACCCGGGAGCTGCTCTGGGTAGAAATTATCGTTGGCCAGAAATGCGAAACCTACAAACCAGAGTCTTCATCCACTCCGAAACGCGCCAAGGGGAAAGTCTGTTTTCCTGCCATCTCTTTACTGCCGCAGCAAAGGCGGTTTTCCTTTCTTTTTCGGTGCAAACCGCCTCCTCGTTCCAGGGGTGGAATTCAGGGGGACGCTGCGGTTTTCCACACGGATTTATTTCACTCATGAATGGACAGAACTGGACTTCCCGTTCTTCCCAGGGACAAACCCAGAACAGAAGAAGAATCCAAGAGTATCAAACCGAGCGGTCAGAAGCTCTCTCGTGCTCTGTAATGGGGGCCCCCCGGGTGCTGTGGGACTTCAGCTCCAGACACTCTGGTTGGCATGACCAAAGGATGGGTATTCTGAGAGGGTGGGGTCTCAAGAGTTGGCAAACCCTGAGTCTGTCGGAGAACACCCCCCCCCAAGCAGCTGGTCTTTGTGCTCCATTCCACCCTCCTGACCACAGACTGGCCGGATCCATCTTGAACACAATGGGGAAACCTGTCACCCTCGCCACATCTTGTGGCAAGGTGTTCCATAGCTTAATTAGGCATCGGAGAAGGGGAAAAGAAAGGGCTTTGCTTATCGTAGAATGATGGAGTGGGAAGGGGGCCTCTTGAGGCCATCCATTCCAACCCCCTTGCTCAAGGCAGGAATCCGAATCAAACCCTATTCTGAGTCAAATACCCTGTATTGTGGGCTCTGACTGGCAGCCGTGGCTCTCTGGGTCCTTGGCTTAATGGGGAATAGGAGACGAGAGCCAGGACTTAGGCAGGAATCCAAATCAAAGCAGATTGGACAGACGGTTGCCCCATGGGCTCTCGAAGGCCTCCAGCGTTGGGGCGCTCACCACCTCTCCCTAAGGTCACGGGTTCCATCGTCGTTCTGCTCTAACGGTTAAGAAGTTTCCCCCTGACATTCAGCCTAAATCTAGATCACCGAAAACAGATCCTGCCCCTCCTCTGGAGAATTCCCTTTCAAGTCTTTGAAAACGGCTCTCCTGTCTCCTCTCAGTCTCCTTTTCTCAAGGCTAAACAGGCCCAATTCTTTCTTGAGCCGCCCTTGAATCTGTTGCCAATAAGAAGGGGGTCCAACCCCCTTGCTCAAGGCAGGAATCCGAATCAAACCCTATTCTGAGTCAAATACCCTGTATTGTGGGCTCTGACTGGCAGCCGTGGCTCTCTGGGTCCTTGGCTTAATGGGGAATAGGAGACGAGAGCCAGGACTTTCTGTTAAGGGTTCTGCTACAATCTCCATCATCCCCAGTCAGGATTGTTATGGACACTATAGCCCAATAACCTCTGAAGAGTTCCAGGTAAGGGAAAGCTGAGGTAGTCCCTCTAACCGCACCATGTATACTTTCAAAACCTCAGTCCCATTGTTCACTTTGGCCTGGTGGGCTCCCCCTTTCCCCCCAACCTCTACCCAAATAAACAAGCATTCAAAAGAAGGAATTAAATTTTTTGGGGGGGGTATTACAACTCCCAGCATTTCCAGCCTGCCTTGCTGGGGGGTGATCAGCATTATAGTCTAGCAGCCCCAAAAATTGCTTAGAGGTTCTAAGACTAAACATGGAAAAATGGGAATATAAGACTTTGGGCAAAGGAAAAGCTTCCTGCTTCCTTTGCTGATTTAGCCTTCCCGGTTTCGGTGTCTTTTGTGTATGATTCCAAACCTCTCTCTTCTGCACCCAAGCCAAAAGGAGCAGCTGAGCCCGCCCCCCCCTTTCACCACTGGCTAAAAGGCCAGGTCTTGTTGCCCTTCCCACCTGGCCCAGCCCACCATCCCACCCGCCCTTCGGGGCCTCCCGCCAACCACTCACAGGACATTCTCGAGGGAGCGTGGCCGGATGAAAATGGCGATTGGGTGCAGCTGAGCCGCCTGCAGCCTCCGCACGGCGTTGGCCGACACGTCCAGAATGCAGTGTTTGCCCTGGAAGGGGAGAAAGAGATTAGGAAGGGGTGACCCCTCCCCCGTGCCCACCCCCTCATCCACCCCCGAAGGGTGCAGGTCCGGCGCCCACCCAGAAGAACCTCTCCCACTGACCCCCCCGTGCCCACCCCCTCTTCCACCCCCGAGGGGTGCAGGTCCGGCGCCCGCCCAGAAGAACCTCTCCCGCGTGCGCATTCCCGGACTCCGCGGTGCAGAGCTGTGAGGATCTTTAAAATGGTCTCACATTCTGAAACAATTATGCAGTGTAAATAACCTCTCAGGGACCCTGTTCGAAGGGAGGAGCAGAGAGATCCCGTCCCACAGGGGTCGGCCTGTGAGTGGTGGGCAACATCCTGCCTGCCTGCTGGGTGGCGCTGGAGACCAGGCACAACGATATATAATCAGACCGTTCAAATTTGGCCCAAATCATGTCCTTGTGGGCTTTGCTAAGACTTTTTCCTCACCCCGGATTTTGCACGGGAGTTTTGCAGGAGAGACCAGAACTTGGAAAATGCACCTTCTCCTCCTCAGTCCATGAAAGGGGATTCTGGGAATAGGTCGTTGACAAAAGGAACGGATCCTCACTCAGGGGCCCCCCGCCTCTGCTCCTCTCGTATTGGTCCACCTTGCCTTCCTCACCTGCTCGGCCACCTCGCGGACCGACTGGACGCTCGTCCCGTACAGGTGGCTGTTATATTGGCCAGCCTCGATGAATTTGTGGCTCTGGATGTCCTTCTCCATCTTCTCCCGTGAGGCCACAAAATGGTAGTCCCGCCCGTCGACCTCGTACTCCCGCTTCGGCCGTGTGGTGTCTGCAGACGGGGGCGGAAGGGAAGCGTGGGGCCACACGCCGTTAGATGTTGGGGCAGAGGGGGGTCTCGACTGAAAGAGGGCTGTCCCCTCTCCCTTCGACCCCATTTGGGGCATTGGGGGGGGAGAGAGGGAACATTTACCCCTTCCCCAGAAGGGGTAAATGTTGGGATGGGGCCACCCCCCCTGAGGACTCACGGGGGACGCAGGAGCCGAATTTGTCCGGGAATTCGGAGAGGAGGTCGTCGTTGACGCGGTCCTTGGTGGGTCCCAAAATAATGATGGGCCGGGCGTAGTGAACTAGGCAGGAAGAAAAGGAAAGAAGTCAGGAAAAGGAACAGGGCTGGGGTACGGAAGGACTACAATGCCCAGAATGCTTTCACCAGCCGGGGAATTGCCCAGACTTGCTCAATCCCAGTAGGTATGACAGTCCAGAAGAGAGGGAGTCTGGAGTCGTGAAAAAGACAATTCCGGCAAGATTTGTGGCACACCTTACTCCTACTGGAGAGACCAAAACCGTTGCTTGATTTTTAAAACAAGCCCTGAACTATGAAAGCCGTAAGCAAGCTTTCGGGAAGCCCTTCTTGAGGGCTGAAAGATGGGGAAGTTCTGCGGCACGGGACAGAACAGAGGCGGGAGCTTCGTGGCTCTTCGGGAAGGTGACAGCCGGGTTTCCCAGATGTAGCCACCCAAGAATCTGGATACAATACGTATTTTGGACTACGAGTGCCAGAATCCCCAGCACGGCCACGGGGCTAGACAGGGTCACTCAGGAAGATTAGTGTCCTCATCACACTAATGAGGTGATGAGGACAGGAAGGAATGTATTGCTACTAACATTCCTGGTGCTTCGCAGACTTCAAGATGACAGATTCCTATCTTGAAAGATTGCAGAGGATAATAGGAAATGTAGTCAATAAAATCTGGAGGGCAGCAGGTTGAGGAGGTCGGCACCTGCCTTTCACGGGAACCCAGCCTTTCTCCCCTCCAGCCCTACAAATGGCTTTCTGGATTTAGCCTGCCAATATTCTGAACGTTAACTGATCAATTCCCTCCCTTGTTGACATACAGTTGGACCCCCGTATCCACAGGGGATTCGTTCTAAGCCCTCTGCAGATGCTGAAAACAGCAGATAATAGCAGACGCTCTGCACAGCATGGCAAAAGAAAAAAAATCCAGAAACACATATTTTCACCATGTATTACTAGAACAGAACTGGCCACTAAAGGAAGCCAGAGACCATGATATAGATTCTTCAACAACAAGAATACATAGCTTGGTCTTTCTCTCCCTCTAGTGGCCAGTTCTAATGAATACATCATTTTAAAAAAATACCGTATTTTTCCGTGTATAAGACGCCCCCATGTATAAGACACCCCCCACTTTTCTAACACAAAATTAAGAAATCTAAGTGGGGTTTAGTAAGTCTAGGGAAAAATGGATCAAAGCACTGCAGGATTGCTTTGATCCCTGCTTTCTCCTGTGGAATTAGCCCAAAGGGATCAAAGCAAGGATCAAAGCTATCCTGCAGCTCTTTGATCCCTGCTTTCCTTTTGCTAAGGCTTAGCAAGTGGAGGGGAAAACAGGGATCAAAACTCTGCAGGATCCACTTGTTTTCTTCTCTCCTCAGTATACTTCCATGTATAAGATGACCCTCAATTTTTAGTCTACATTTTTTAAGACAAAAGTATAGTCTTATACATGGAAAAATATGGTATATTTCTAGTTTTTTTTCTTCTTTTAATATTTTAAATATTTTCAGACCACGAATAATGGAAATTGTGGACATGGGAGTCCTATTGTATTTCCATCAAAGGCATTTTAAGGAACAGAGAGTCTATGCCCATTTAAAATCAAAGAAATCCATTGAGGGCAAAGGAGGTTTTTTTTGGGAGTCTTACCTTCCATCTGTACGACGGTTTCGTAGCTCAAGACGGCATCTTCCCGACCTTGAGAGGAAAAGAAAGGAGCCGTGACCCCCACTGGTGTGTGTACCACCCAAGCCCCCGACCCACGGCCTCTTCTGGCCAGCCGTGGAAAGCAACGGTTCAGCTAAGTGGCTCCGAAGGGCAGTCCGACAGGACCCCGGCCAGCGGGCAAAGGGAATCCCAGGCGTGGAAATATATTCACCAGTAGGTTGAGAGAGAGAGAAAAAAGGAAAGCCAAAGGCCCAGAAAAGACAGAGAGAGAGAGAGAGAGAGAGAGAGAGACCCACCTTGAGAGCCTGATCCTGGCACCCGATCCTGGAGAGGGAAAGAAGCAAGAATGAGGAGAAGCCAGGAAAAGGAAGAGAGAGAAAAAGAGTCAGCAGACCGGGGGAAACAGAAAACCTACAGAAATGCCATCAAGGCACACACACACCCTCCACACACAAACACTCACACCTGGCTACATCGGGTTCAGTGGCTCACACTACTTTACGGGAGGCTGGACGTCCAGAGGAGAGGGTTTCCTCTGTGTTAGACGTAGCAGCTTCTTACAGGCGAAGGGCAGAGGTGGCTGGGGAGGATGGGCATTGGAATCTAACCCATCTGGACGGCCTCGGGCTGGTGAAGGTAGAGGCACAGCATCCTACGTAGGTCCCCAGCCCCCTCCTCGTGATCGAGAAGCATCAAAGCACCTTACGCCAAATAACCCACGCAAAATGTCTTTCATGCACACAGGATGGAGAATCCAGCCAAATTCGGAAATTTTGGCCTTTCGGAACATCTTGCCTGCAGACCTACACCCGTGTTACTTGCGCACAAGCACAAAACAATCTCAGAGTTAACACCATCCGTGTCTTGCATGTGGACATTGCCGTGGGACGTCCAGGACAAGAAAGCTCGCCTGGGGTTCGAGCCCTTCGAGGAAAACCTGGGCCTTTATTCTGCCCCCCCAACCCTGTGCTCTCCTGATCTTTTCTGCGGTCCCAATCCTCTGCACAGAGGGAGCTCCCACTTCTGCTGTGGCCGGGACAGCCCAGCAGAGGATGTGGGCAAGAGGGCGAATCCTGCGTCTGCACGGGGGCCCCCTTGTATTCCTCCCTTTTAAGCACGCACCAGGACGGGGGGGGAAAGGGGGCTTTCGGAATCTTTCGCTTACTTTTGCTTTTAGTCTTGTCCATTCCCTTCGCTCCACCCTGCAGGAGAGAGAGAGAGAGAGATGCCCAAACAACAAGAGAGAGAAAGAGAGAGATCATGAGGCTAGGGGTGTCACCGGGTGGCCAAAAGATCCCATCCTAGATCCTTCTAGAACAGGGGTCCTCCACTTTGGGTTCCCAGATGTTCCTGGAGTAGAGCCATGGTGCTTATCACCGCCAAGGTCACCTGCCCGTGCCACCAGATCCCTCCCAGGCCATGCTCCTCCCGGGGGGGGCACTCTGAAGTTGGCCCGGGCTTCATCTTCAAGGTTGGGCCTTCTTCATGATGGCCACCAGCTCCCTGGAGCCAGCTCCCGGTGGGGATACCCCGGGTCCTTCCCACCCAACATCTATCAGAATAATATGCCTCTTGTTAATTTTTGTTGCTTTTTTAATCATTTATTTAAAATCTCATCGTTCTCTTTATTTAATCATACTGCAAATCACCCAGAAGAGTGCATTGCAGTAATGGGATGGTATCCATCCATCCATCCATCCATCCATCCATCCATCCATCCATCCATCCATCCATCC